TTGTGTTCCAAAAGGATATTAAGAGGTAATAACAATGTAATGTACATATTGATTGTAATTAATAAAGTGACTTGGAAAATGCCAAAATACATACTGTTAAGCACTGTTTGCTTTCAAATATCAAGAAAAATATGTCACTGAATCCTCTAAGGAAAGGTTTGGATGCAGCCTGCATGTGCGCACAATGCACATGCGTTCAGTTCCCACAAAAAAAACATGAATTTAACTTAGGAAGCTGCGGAAAAATCATAGTCAGAAAACTAGCAAGACGTGTGTGGCCCAAAGTAGGTATTTACTATTATCTCCTGTCTGACTCCTTGTTTTTTACTTCAGGAAGCCACTAAATGCATATTTTGTTGCTTGAATACACAATGAACATAATGGTGTGTAACAACTAGGAATATTGTCTAATTTATGATAGATTTATATCATAAATCAGCATTATAACATTAATTGTGTCAGAAACAGAGGGTGTCACACTTTGTTAAAGCCCTATTAAACCAATTGTGATTTGTGAATATGGGCTAAACAAATACATTTTGATTTATTGATTGACTTTAAATCCAATCATCCAATCACATTGCAAAGGCACAACGTGGGTCAATATAGTGTCAGCATTTATAACAGATGACAAGCTTGATTACACCTTGTTTGAAAAAACATGTTGTTCAACGTGTGTTTTGGTGGGAATGATTTTGTATAGCTTGGCTCTTACCCAGAATGTGAGCTACAGCATCCACCAAGTCTCTCTGGCTTCCTGCCTCAGTCTTTATCACTATCCTCTCTGCAAGAACAAAACTAGACATCACTGGCCGCTGCTGGCACAGAAAGCGGTCAAGCACCTCCATGCAGGATGTGATGCGCTGTGGTAGGGTGCCACCAATAACTGTATCATTGCCACCCATCATCTCCAGCACCACGCCTACATCACCAATGGCACCCCATTGGACTGCCAGTCCAGGTAGGCCATCGTAACAACGCTTTTCGCATACACGTTCCATGGCTGAGTTGGCATAACCGTAGTTACTTTGCCCAGCATTGCCACGCCCGCAGCTGACTGAGGAGAAGGCCACAAAGTACTTGAGGTCTGGACACAACTTTCTCGTCACTCTAGAGAGAAAATGAAATGAATGCATCAAGATCAAGAGAGAAGTAAATAGGAGTGCTTAAATGATCCCTAATTTGAATAGAAGGTTAATAAAGACTGTCCCTTACTTGTCCAAGTTTATGGTGCCATCATATTTTGGTTTGTTGACATCAAGGAAGATCTGAGGAGTCAGATTCTCCAGCATGCCATCTTTCAGTACCTGATAATGACATGTCAATCATGTTAATGGAGTTTAAGTGAAAGTGAAATCAATGAGAAGCAGTTTTTGAGCATTAATACCATAATTTGAGATGTGTATCAACTGTGAGTATGGATGACAACAGTACTGATGTTAAATAATCCACAAGTATAAAAAAGCTTACCTTAACATAATAAATAATTGTGTAAAGGTTTATTTCTATCATGTCAACAACAAACTATAGGCACACACACACACACAACCAAAACACAGATAAAAACAATACCCTGATTTCTACTTCAACTCAACACCAATTTTGATTGGGTATGAAAGAAATTCTCAGATAACTAAAGCTGTAAACTGTGCAAAGAAACCTCTCACTTGGTACATTATAAAATATATTAAGGTAGGCCTGTCATGATAACAAATTTA